AAATCCATAGGCCAATCCCTAGAAAAATCTCATATTTAAGGACTCTGATCAATCAGGACTTCACTATCATGAATCCTATCCAAGGCTCTTAAGTACCTTCACAGCTCAAATGTGGATCAGATGCATTTGTGTATTCCTCCTGGAGGAGAAGGGGAAGATAAGAAAAAATATTAGAATATGTAATATAGAGTGTATAAACTATAATATATAATGCATACACCGACCAGCTTATGAGGGGCCAACAGCCCTTCAACTACAGTTTCTACCATCACTTCTTTTAAAGAAGAAGATGTAACACTGAGGTCTCTGCTAAACTGCATTTGAAATGAGGTGGAGCTGCTGATGGGCAAACTATATGTTTTTGTCTCTTCCAGATCCTTTGACCAGCAGAGAGGACCATAATGTGACAGTGGAGAATGAACTGGCTATTTGCCTCCCGGGCGAATAAAGCCACATAACTTCAGGCCTGGTTTTCCAGTGAAGCTGCTTGCTAATTAGTTTGCCAGTGGGAACCTTTGAGAATTAAACACAGGATACATAATCCTCTCTGCAAGGTAATTAAAAATATTTGCCCCTTGCTGATAACTGACCTGCTGATTTCCTCCTGTTTAAGAAAGCTTCATAAAAAATTACTGTACTGTTTGTGTAACAGGACAGCCACTTGCACAGATGTTTCCTGTCTGCTGACTTTCTTCAGCTCAGGATTTTCAGAGGGTGTCATAAGAAGGTGAAACTTGTTTGAACATCTGGAAGCCCTTTTTTTTTGTTTATTTGCTTGTGTGAAAGAGGAAAAATGTTCTCTAGATTATTTTTAAAAATCCAACAAACTGCAAAGGTGCTATGGACGTAGATCATCCGATCAGAAGCAAAGATTTAATGATGTTGGAAATCAGGCTGTTGACTGCCCAGCTGAGATCCACGTTCTGTCCAGGGCCCAAATCCCAAGCAGTGTCATGAAGACAACTCATTATACCTTTCTCTGTCCATCTCCCAGCAGTGTCCTGTTCTGATTTCAGACCGTGTGCAGGAGTCTTGGCATGAGTGGATCATGGGTCCATGTCAGGTCACAGCTCTTTGAATGGAGGGGCTGAGCACTCTACAGACACCCTGAGGAAATGCAACCTGGTGAGGAAATACAGACATTCTGCCTACAGTCTTCAGCTAAAATGGTTAATTGGGGCTTAATTGACCCCTGCTCTGAAGGGGATCACTGTATGGCATAAGCAAACATGGGGATGGGAGCAGCTGCTGATGGATCTGGGAGCAGCTGGCCCAGATGCTTTAGGTCATGAGACCAGTGCTGTGCATGATGAGAATGCTCCCGGGAAGAGCAGAGTAAAAGTAGGAACTAATCCTGCCACGATGCAGTGAGTCCGTTGGATATTGCAGTTGTCCTGAGGGAGACCAGGCATGAAGTGTGGCTGCCAAGTCACTCTGATTAGAAAAGCCAGTTTTGGTTCACATTCAGAAACAACAAAAGCTTCATCCCTGAATATGAGAACGGTCATCTGTGACCAGGAAAAAAAATCTACCTTACCTATTATTCTGCCTCAACAGCTGTCAATAGCAGAGGCTTAGATCATGAGGACCGTGGCAAACCTGGTGCAAGCTTTGCCCCTCAGGCCATTCCCAGTGATGGGAAATGCAAGGACGTTGTGAGCCAGAAGCTGTATCTGGTCTGTTGTGTTTGACAGGTCAGGTTGCACCTCTGTTCTGGGACAGTGCACATTAATACTGTTGTTCTCCGTGGCAGTGTCCTGTGATTTTAATTACACGCTGTAATTACACGCTGAGGTGTCTCCTTCGTGGGTTTAAATCTCCTGCGCAGTAATTTCACAGCTGCCTCTAGGAATGACAAATGCTAATTTCTTTTTTGCCTCCTACTTTCTGTACTTGATGTTATAGACAGGTAAACACTGCCGCAGAAATTGGCCTTGCCCTCTTCTGAATTGCCAGAACCAGCCGTGAGACGGAGACGGATCCTGCTGTAGCACAAACTTTCAGGCAGACGTAGTGGCATTTAGAACTGGTTCGGAGCAACAGCAGATTCAGTCTGGCGTTTCCTTCCCTTCAGAGGCAATTAAAATGTAAATGCACCACGAGCTGCCAGTTCCAGAGACCTCGTGGAAACCTGAAGGGGGACGTTTTGGCAGTGACCTTTGTCTAATGATCTTATTGGACCATAAACTTCCAGGCGTTCTCTGTCTTCCCCACGCTCCGTGTGCGATGGGTATGGTTCAGCGGGCAGCATCACGGGCTGCTGCTTTTTGGGCCTGTTGTGCTGAGGCGTTGGGCTGCTGTCAAACTGCTCTTCTTGTAAGCATGGGTGCTTCTCTTTCACTCCAGTGTCAGTCTCAACCAAAATCCTTTGGAACTTCTATGAAAGCATGGATCATCCTTGCCCTTCTCACCTTTTTTCAATTATTCTTGCAGAAAGAAAGCCCTCCAAACCAGTGTGATATCTAAGGGCTTCCCATGCGGTGGTCACCATCCTGACCTGCTTCAGACCAGGAGGTGGTGACACTGAAGACCAGCCTCTGTGGGTGCAAGAGTGCTTGAGCTCGATTTCTTAGTAATGTAAACCAGAGTTAGGAACCGACAGTGGGAGAAGGCAAGCAGGCAATTTTGCTTCTCATTCAGAAATTTCTGACTTCAGCTGACTTCTGAATTCAGCAGAAACTGGGAACAAACAGCTTCTCCCAGAGGAATATCAGTTCTAGTCAGCTGAGGGCTGGGATCTTGCCTCTAAAGAAGACAGGGCTTCCCAGCCCCTGGCAAGTTTGGAATTAGGAGCCATCAGCTTGGCAAAACCCCCTTGGCAAATCATGAATGCTCATGAGCTATCAAAGCTCTGCAAGGCAACGAATCCGCTCTGATTTGTACCAGTGGGAAATCTAGCCTTTAGTTTGAGTTCTTGAATTTGTGGTTGTTTTAGTCACATGAATGCAGTCTGCCAGGCTGCCAGGGCCACATATGTGAAACTCAGAATTGTTGCTTCAGTGGAGCCCTAAATGCGTAATGTTTCAGTAAAGCCTTTTTATTGGGTTTATGGGCCATTAAGCAGAAAGTGTGATGGGGAGTCGTGCAACAGCCAACCTGAAGCAGGCGCAGCCTCTTCATCGCTACCTTGTGCAATTAGGGAACAGCTCACAGGTCATTCGGTATTAATTGGGCCCCTTTGGAGCTTGAGCGCTTTATGAATGCTATTATACAACGTGATAGCAGGGGACTTGAATGACCCCAGTGGTCTCTTTCCCTCTGGCAGCCACTGTTCCTAAATAAACATGGCTCGTAGGGCCGTTTCCGTTGCACCACACCAAGAATGAGTTCAACCACTTTGGTTTCTACCCAGCAACAGTCAGCAAACACTAAACACCAGCTCTGCCACGTGTGGAACTGTCTCTCTCAGCTGTGCCACACTGAGATTTTCTCCAGGAAATCTTCCATCGTGAGCTCTCCCATCACTTTTCTGGTAGGGATGAGCGCACTGAGCCATCTTGAACCTCGTGTTACAGGGCCAGGGAATCCTTAGTGGAGACACTGCATCTCTGGCAAGGTCTGCAATGATGTTTCTCGTTTATTTCTTTCTAGAAGCCCAGGCAGTCAACATATCTGATCAGCACCGCTTTTCTGATACCCTCCTGCCCTCTTGTTCAAGTTGTGCAGTGTGCTGTTAACATTAGCCAAGGTAAGGAGAAAACAGAGTTGTCTTCCTCAGCGGGGGATGGATTCCTTTCTGCAAATCTTGGTTTTGCCTGATTTTCCAGGATGACCTGTAAGGTGAAACGCAACTTAATGCAGTAGAGGATGCTGCTGTATTAAGAATACTCAGGCTGGAGCAGTGCCTGAAGAATAGAGAGAAGTAAGAATTCATTCCTCTTCAGCGATTTCTCTCTTTGACCTTTGTTTTTCACCATCTCTATGTTACCTTTCTCCTCTCTCTCTCGAGACCATGAAAGCAATCATTTAGAAAAGAGGGGAGCATGATTCATGTTCAATCAGCTCCAGCCCAATTCATATAGAATTCTGCTGCAATAAGCTGGAGAAATGCCTCTGCTCAGTTGTCACGGGCAGCATCCAGGCTGGTTCCAGCAGTGTGGGCATGGAGAGCAGACGAGCGCATGTGAGTGTCAGCACTGCCTAAGCTGTGGATGGATTATCTACACTCCAGCCAGTGCATAACTTGCAATTTGCCCTTTCCTGTGGTCACCAACTCTGCAAACAGACAGAGATTGGCTTCTTGATACGGGCGCTGAGATCTTGGCTGTGCTTGCAACAGGGTCTAGCATCCTGTTCCAAGCATTTAGGCGTACCTGAGATCTGGTTGCCACGTTAAAACATTAGTTTTGCATCTGAAGACGTTTTGTTTGGTTTTTATTTTTTTTTATTTTTTTTTTTTATTTGCTAGATCCCACACTCTGAACATTTTCCACCTCTGGAAGGTCCTGTCTCAGCACCCCTCACTGCCGACCACCCAGCGAGGAGCCCCTCCTGCATCCCTCCAGCATCCCAAGGCACCCGGACACCGCTTGCATTTTATTTTATTTTTTTAATTATTATCATTCCTAACCCACGTTTCAAACCTTTTGGCGTTTAAGGGCTCCCTGCCTCTCTGCAGCAAGAGGAGAGCCTGCATCTTATTCCTTGGCACTTGGCAGTGATTTTTCTCCTCCTCCTTGTTCCCCGCCCCGGGGGCGCCGGAGCGGGGCTGGGGCTGCCCCTCCGCGGAGACTCGCTCCGGGGTTTTTCCTCTCCTTGGGGGGGGTAAAAGGGGGCTGTTCTGCTCCGGCCACCTCTGTCAGCTGAAGGGGGCGGGAGCTGCAGCCTTGAAGTAGAAAAGGAAGAAGAAAAAAAGAAAGGCGCGGGGAGAGGGGGAGAACCTGCCGGACAGCGGGGGAGTTGCGGGGCTGAGCCTTGCTGGGGACCGCGGGCTGGAGGAGGAGGAGGAGGATGATGATGAGGAGGAGGAGGAGGCAGGAGAGGATGCGGCGGGGCAGCGATGCTGCGTCTGAACCCACTTCTGCCTGAGGAGAAGGACATCATCCTCCGAGGGGAAGGAGGAAAGTAGGGGGAAAGCCGCCGAGCTCTCCCGGAGGGATCGCCTGGCACCGGAGCAAAGTTTCCCGAGCTCGTCGAAGAGAGGGGAAGAAGCATGTGAGATCCTTCTCATCCCAGAGCACAGCTGGGTTACAGCCCCGGCCCTGCGGGGAATAGCCACGGTTCTGTCATCCCCGGGTGAAGGGGGGACCCGGGACACCCGCTCTCTCCATCCCCAGCTCCACGCTCCTGCCCAGGTAAGTGTGTCCCCCTCCCAGACACCGAGGCTCTCCTTGGCCCTGCCGGAGAGTTTCCAGCACTTTGCCCAAGGAAAAAAAAAAAAGTCTTGTGCTTCTCCTGACAGCTAAAGGGTGCGTGTGTGTGTGTGTGTGCTCGTAAGACTGTCTGTGTGCGGGGGGTGGTTAGAGCTGTCTGACTGCAATTTGTGTTTGCTGATCGCTGTCATCGTTTCGCTGTGCCATCACACCTCTAGAAAGGAGACTCATCTGGGGTCTGTCAAATATTTTGGCTGTGCTGTTGAGGTGAGGCTGAGTGGAAGGATGACAGCTCAATCCCCCTCACCAGAACTAAGAGGGAAGCGTGCTTAGCTTGGTGTGGTTTTAAATGATGCTCCTAAAATGCTGGCTGGATATGTCAGTGTCCCCTTCGAGCTCTAGGAACTCTCAGGGCTGTGAATGCAAGTCTCTCTTTGTCCCCCTGAGAATATAGGGAGGGATGGATGGATATTCCCCTGGGAGGAATCACTGTAGCCTCTGGATTTGCATCCCTCTGGCTTGGATATGCAGCTTTGTGTGTGTGTGTGTGTGTAGCAGGGCTCGGCAGTAATGCATTTCAAGCTGAAATGTTGCTTGGAGAAGAAACCTAGCTTCTAACTGATAAGAAAAGAACCTTTTTCACACAGAGAGCCCAAAGAGAACTTTTTTGATGCCTGACGGAAAGAAAGTTGGCATTTTTGAACCCAGTAACTTGGCGGAAGTGGAATGTAAAAGCTGCCAGATATCCTCAGGCAGGTAAGCAGTGGGAGATCACCCACATCAGGGAGTTCTTGTGACTGCAAAGGGGATGGAGAGGGACCCTTCTCCCCACAGCATCAGCTTGCACTCTAGGAGATGACAGGAGAACAAAGATGCTGGTGTTGTACATGGCAATCAGAATAAAGATGGACTTGGTGTCGTTGCAGAGTCTTATCAGAGTCTTATCAGACAATGGTGTAAGGCATTCTGTAGCTTTGGTTTGGTTTTTTTTTGCTTTATTCTCCACTGCTCTGATGGCTTTCTCATCCCCATTTCATCTGGTTTTCCAACAGGAATCCCCTGTGTACAATCCCTGATGTTTTATGTGGAGATCAAGGTGAGAGCCAACAGTGATCCACTTTCTAAATGTTCCCAGTGCAAACACGGTGTCTGTTTTGTACTGTTGGTTGCCCTGTGGTGCGTGTGCAGGTCATGTCCTAGCCCTATGATGGTGCTGTCTTCCAAGGTCTTCTGTCCACAAGCAAATGGGAGAGGTCCCTACTCCAGGAAGGGTTCCCCTTAGATTCTCCAATGACTCCACAGCTTTCTGCTGGGAAAGGTCTGCTACCCCATGTAGGTGCGCCAAGCGAAGAGGATGGGAAAGAAGTTTTGTCTTGGACATAGAATGGCCAGAACCTTTATGGTGCAGCTATAGAAAGGATGTGACAACCCGCAGAATTTCTCACACAGTTTAAATGAGATCTCAACCCTGGCTCTCATTTTGACCACTCCAGCTAACTCTTTCCCATAGTTCTAGGTGTATCTCCATGTACATAATATGAATGAGGCAGATTTGGCTCCCTATGCTTTCTTTGCATCTCAGCCATCTCAGCAGGTTTGGTATCTTGCTCCCTCAGTCACCCCCAGGTGCTTTTATTCCCCACCTAAGGGTGTGCAACACAAACCCTTGGATTCCTGTTGTTACAGCTTCACTATTCAGGCAGTGTCATGACCATTGTGTTAGACCTGGCCCTTTGAACTGACAGATACACGTTTTACAGTTGCAGATGTATCTGGGGAGGTCCAGGACCCTGGCTTTTGTCACGCAGCCTGCTCTAGTCTCTGACTTTTTGTGCATGCTGATACTAATGCGTTCCCAGCCACCCAACCCAACGGGCCTCCCAGGATGGTGACTCCTGGCAAGTTACTCATCACTGCTTTAGCCACAGTGGTTTATTTGAAAATTTCCTTTCCCTTGCCAGGAGGCAGGTAGCTGCCAGTACCTGACCAGTCAGTCCCTTGGCACAACCTGGGAGCTCTCTGACTGTCCCGGGGAGGCCCAAGGAGCAGCTGGTGCCTCCTTCAGTCAAGCTGCAGGATGAGAGATCTCCGTCTTTATGTGCCACATCCTTATTTCCCTACTGTAGATCTGGTCTCCTCTTCTTCTGCAAAGTGGCTGTGAATGCCTGGGAAGCTGATGGTGATTGTACCCACCCTGGATCATTCTCACATGTCATTTGTCCTTCCGGAGTGGATCTGTGGTTCTTTTTTACCAGCTGGGGTAAGCTGTCCTTGGATGGGCTGCCCTGACTTATCATTGCCAGTGGTACCTGAACAAGCCCTTTTGTCCCCCTCCTCCCCTGGTACAGCCTGGGGAGGTCTAGTGAGGATTTTGCCCAAACTTACCTCCCCTGTGCTCATGGAGCTGTAACGATGAAGAAAAATTGCCAGGCAGAGAAAATGAGCTGCCGGGGACCATGCTGGGTGACTCTGCTGCAGCCTTGAAAGCAGCCAGAAACCAGCATGGTCTCTCTGGATTGTCTACAGGTGACAGCTGACAGATGTGATGGGCAACAGGTTGAAGCTCCTCTGGAAAATCTCAGTGGGAGCATGACCTCTGGTGTCTGCCTTGCTTAGGAGCAGAGGCAGCCAGTTTGTTTTTGCATCCTGCAAGAGCACAACCAGCAGCTGTGCTAGATGCCCAGCTCTCCCAGGAGAGGGAATTCTTGCAGGGTGAGTGCTGAGGAGTTGGGAGGGAGAAACCTGGTGGAGTGAATGAGGGATATGATTTAACCACAAGGAGCCATGTGGTTTCCTGCTGAGCACTTTGCAGCAGGAAGGTGTAGGGCAAATCAAGGGAAGAGCCACCCTGGGGCATCTCCAGCCTCTGTGAAACAAAGATTTGGACTGGCATGTGTAAGAGGTGGGGTGAGAACACTCTGTGTGTGTGTGTGCATGTTGTTAACCAGAAGATGTCTTGCTGCTGGTCCAGGGCTGGTGAGGGAGGCAGAACGAGGGCTCCAGCTCACATCAGTGTGATGGGGTTCCCAGGCAGAACAAAAGGACCCTGCTGGAGAAATGCAGATGTTAGCCTGGCCAATGGAGAAAATGTCCTTTCTTATCTCACACGCTCTCAGTTCTCCTGAGACATCTTTGCCTGCAGAGAGACTCCTCCCTGGTAAGGCATCCCCAGATGAGGATGGATTTAATCCTGCCAGCTCCAGCTGATGTCTCACTGAATCAGAACTTCACTGAAAGTTCATTGCTGCACTTCATTCAGGTCTAAACAGAAACCCAAGCCAAGAAAATGAGACATGACACCAGATAGACCAGCAGAGAGCTTTGCCTCAGCTGGAGGTGTGGGAAGATTTTATAACCTAGGAAACACATTGAAAATGCCCGGCTGATCCCACTGGCATGTTTTAGGTTGATGGGTGATGGTTTATTTTTTTTTAATTTAGTGGTTGCAGAGTGTTAATAGCACAACAGTGATTGTTGGCTTTTGCAGGAGAAACCTGTGTGGTATCCATTTTCCCCCAGCAACCCTTTTGAAAGTGATTTGACAACAGAGGAGGGAGGAAGCTAGGGAGCCAGGCAGGGGAGTGGGAGAGAGCAGCCTGCTATTGTTTGCAATCTGCCCGGGAAGAGAAATGCTCTCCTGCCTGTAAAATCAAAGGCATCACCAGCAAACTGCTGCAATTCGGCTTCTGGCAATTTGGCTTCCCAGCAAAGTACAGCGAACACAAAGCCAGCTCTTATCACATCCAATAATCTCCTCCATGGAGAAGCTGCTGTTGTCAGTCAGGGTTATGTGTTCCTGCCTTGGGTCCTAGGCAGATCCCCAGGCTCTTTTCCAGCTTCATCATCTCGGTTTCCGTGAGCCTTCATCCAGGAGCCGGTGTAGCTTTGTGCACAAACCTCGTTTAAGTTTGTTTTTACAGTTGCTGAGGCAAACAACCTCACTCTACAGGATCTCATGTGATGACACCGAATGTGGTGTGAGGCCTGGTAGGAAGCATGGTCCAGCAGGCTAAACACCCACACTTGCTCCATCTCATCACAGACTTCTGTGACCCATGGCAAGTCATTCAGTGTCAGTGGGTGGAGTTTGTCTCATTGAGCGTCTAACTCCTAACTGCTCAAGTCATCTCCAAGCTTCCCTCTGCAGTCAGCTCAGCCCCCAGTTGTGGACATTTTTTGGTGATGTACTGGGTCATCTTCTTTCTGGGACTTTTTATTCTCCACTGGCTAGAAAGGCAACCTGGATGACAAGTTTCAGTTACTATACAGCTGAGACATGGAGCAAAGAGTCCCACTTCTTGTTACAATTTGGGACTTTTACCCATCCAAGAAGAGATTCTGCTCACATTGCAGTGAGGGGTGTTCAGAGCAGTACTGGGGTCTATTGTTATTTTGGGCAGGTGTTGTGGGGGTGATGACAAACACTGTGAGACCAGCTACTGCCCAAGCAGGCAGCAGGAAATATTGCCTGTCCTGAAAAGCCTGTATTTTAAGGGAAGAATGGATGGAATAGAGGGAATGTCAAGAAATGTATACAGCAGGTCTCAAACCCATGTGAGAAACATCTGAGCTCATGATGTAGGTCTGCCTGTCCAGCCACACTGTTGCAATGCTGCCCTGTGGCTCAGACTCCAGGTAGAGCCAAGCGTAGGCTCTGGGCTGTCTCATGCTTGGATTCACCTGGGCATCGTTCATCTGGATGGCAAAGGGCATTGAGCACGCTGGGCCCAGAGCTCCAGCCTGAGGCTGACTGCATGTGACCACCATGGACAAGAGAGCCCAGACTTGAGAAAAGGCTTGGATTTGTACTTAGTTGTTGGTACCAGCAAACCCAGAGAAGATGCTGGTCACCGTGAATGGTGGTGGAAAGGTACCTTTGGTTCATTGCTCTAATGGTTGCATGCTTTTCTGTTCTTCTCCAGGGATTTCAAGACAGCAGGAGACCCTTCTCAACACAGCGTGCATCCCATGAAAACTGAAGTGACCTCTGAGACTCATCTCAACATGTTCAGTGAAAAGAGCAGTGCCTCTTTGTCCCAGAAACCCATTCAGAAAAAGACACGACCTCAGGGCCTCCCCTCCCCTGCCCTCTGCTGCGCTTGTGGACTCTGCATCATGCTAGCAGGGATCAACATCACTTTAGTGGGAGCATTTGCCTTTGGGACCTTCCTCCCCATGAACAACCCTCCCATCATCATCGGACCCATCTTGCTGGTGGTGGCCTTCACGTTCTTTGGTGCCTGCTGCATCTGCAGCCGGAGGCCCCCAGCTCACGGGGCCAGGAAATCCAAACCAGGTTCCAACATTGGGCTCATCAAACCTGGCAACACAGCCTTTGAAATTGAAACTAGTGAGCACACGGTGCAGGATACCACCGCCGTTCAGCTCAGCCCCACAAATTCCCCTATCTCCTCGAAAAAGTCCACCCCGGTTCACGAGAACGCGAAGACTTGCAAGCTCTTCACCATGGAAGGCAACGGGCCGGTGGCCAAGTACAGCACGGGAGGAGAAGCGATACAGCTCAACTTGCCCCGGGACCTGGCCGCATCCTAAAGCCGGGCAGAGCTTTTGTTAGCAGCCAGCCAGATGCTGCTGCAATGGGTGGGCTGGAAATCCGTGGGTGTGGGGAAGGTGCTTATGAAAAGCCAGCAGACAGACAGGTCTTTCTGAATCCATTTAAGGAAGGTGGATGCAATAGCAGAAAAAATTCCCCGGATTTTTGCTGCAAGGAACACGCCCATTACGTGGCTTTAAAAAGAAAATTGTTAATGATGTTGCTGTGAAAGGATGACTCTCAGTTCCTGGGAATACACCTGCTTTTTGGGGGAGCAGATAGGAAGCGGGGAATGAATTAATTTATAATTCCAGTATAACGTGGAAATGTGATGGCTGGAAGGAGGGGCTACATAGCGCTGACAAATGATAGCTCTTTCTTCTCAGAAGTGAAGCAATTCTTGAACGTAAAAGAAGCAGGAATGCGGTAAATTACAGCTCGCTGCCACTCAGTCACAAGAAGATTTCAGCATTTTTAGTGCCAGGCTTTTTGTCAGCAGGGACAAAGCTATGTGTTTGCTAATGAAAAAGCAGTGTGAAACAACCTCCCCTCCCTTGAAAATCCTTGGCCCATCTTGCCTTCACTTGGGTGGCTTTCCCACCCGTTCTAAGAGACAACACATCACAAGGATTGCAATTAGCACTGGTATTTTCCTCTTCTTTTAATCAGATTGGGCTGCAGCTGTGCTGCTCAGAGCAGTAGGTACCTTAGAAGGTCAGCCAGGCTGAAACCTTGGCGACGAGCTCTTGGAATAACCAGAGATTGGCAGGAGCCTGCAAGCAGAATCCTTGGGCAATGATTGATTATTTATGGAGTACTAGGCAGCTTCCTTTCTATCTTTTTGTAGAAGGCTGGCCTGGGACACACATCAGGTTGGGACAAAAGGCAAATAACTTTATGGGCTTCAGTTTAGCTGTGCTGGAAGATGGTGACTGTATCTGCTTCCCCTAAGTGGCTGAGAGACCCATTACACATGGTGGGCAACCAGGAGAGAGTGGATTCCCTTGCTGCAGGAAACTGGCCACTCAAGGAGCTCATGGGCTTGCAAAGCAATGGGAAGATAATTTATCAAGAGCTGTTCAACACAAAGACACCACCTCTGCCTCGGAAAGACCCTCACCTAATGGATCATTGCTGCAAAGGCTTTTTGGTTCCTGGGTGACCCTGCCTGGGAAGATGGTGTTGTGCTTACAGGCCTTTGCTCTGGCTCCTGTAGAGGCTGTTCACATGTTTTATGAGATATGGGACCTGTGTGGGGAAGGACAGTTGTGCTGGGCAGGAGCAGTATGTGAGGAGGCAGCAGCAGGAGTGTGAGTGTAGATTTTGAGTAGGTTCTCTGTTTATGTAAATCCTGTAGTTCAAATGGGGCTTTTGGGACTTTGAGTGACTAGGAAGTCATATGGACACAAGAGTGACCATAGGAGACCATTCCAATTAGCCCAGAGTATCCCGTTTCAGATGAGGCCAAGACCAAGGTTTGGAGAAGAGCATAAAGACAGGGCAAAACCAGGCTGTTGCTTGTCCAAAATGGTCTCCCAGCTTCTGATGTGCTATTTCTTAGGAGTTTCCTGAGCTGGAAGTGGTGCCAGCGTTTAGTAACCCTGAATGGATTTCTTCTTCAGGAAATAATCCATTTGCGCCTTGAGTGTCTGTCAGCTTTCATCATTTGTGATCCTGCAGCAGGGAGCTGTAGAGTTTAATGAGAGGCTATAAAGTTCTCTATCCTTGGCTTAGTTTCCTCCTGCACCCTATTAATGCCCTTTCATGGCCCGCATTTCCCAGATTAGAAGGGCCAGCAAACAGCCCATAAGCCCCCCACCACTCAGGTTTTTTTTGGTGGGGGATTCTAATGCTTCATAAAATAGTTCATAGTTCAAATTTCCTTTAGTCATCTCCTTCCTATGGTACTTCACATCTCCTGTAGCCAGATGGAGGTAACGCTTACCATTCAGCCCAGCATCAGTGGTTTGCTAGGCTGATGACAACACAGCCCTGAGGTGTTAGCCAGCAGAAATGGGTGTACGGAGAGCCAGGAGGGCTGAAAGGGAAATGCTGGAGGAGAGGTAGATGTTGTGACATGGCCAAGGCTCCCCCAGGCCACCAGCAGACCTCTGCATGGCCAGGTTGTGAGAGATGTGGCTAGTGTGCTGCATTATGTGATGGCATGTGGGGTCATGGGGGAGCTGGAGAGAAGAGCCACGGTGCTGTACAGTCCATGCATGAGGTGTCCTGGTTGCTCTGAGGAGCCACTGTGCAGCTGATGGCCCCTTCATGAGCTCGGCTAGGAAGAGGTTGATTTCATTCCTTCATGAGAGGTAACCAAACACTCTGTCTTAATGTGGGTCCTCTTGAGTGCCCCAGCATTTTTGCTGCCTTGAGCAGCTTCTTCTACATCAAGGAATTATGTCTGTGATTTTAGCAGGGCTGGTCTCCTGGCTAGGAGGGGCAGAAGCAGGCTCAGGAGAAGGATACTTGTGTGGGTTCAAGTCTTTTGTACAGCCTCTAGGTCCTGGGAAAAATCATTTAATTGTGCTACTGCTCAGCTCGCTGCTTGTGCAGGAGAGAAAATACCTGCTCCTAACTCCACTTAAAGCTGCTTTAAGGATGAACACATTGCCAAGCACCACAGTTGGTATTAGCACACCTGAGTCTGGAGATTGCTTGAAGGTGGATGAGTGTGTATGGTCTGATCTCTGCATGATCCCCTCTAGAGCTCATTTCCATGGATGAGCTCTGCTTCCAGCACCGGCTGCCCTTCAGCACACAGGAACTGCTGTACTGAACAAAAGGCTCCCATGATTTTTGGCTGCCGGTGATTGCTGCAGCAATTAAACCAAATAGCTCGCTGATGTAGGCTTGATTCCCAGGTTGCTGGCTCACCAGCCTTTTGGAACAGCACACAACAGGCTGAAAGTCCTTTAGAGGTATTGCCCATGTGAACATGGTTACTATAGCACATTTCCTTGAGCATTTGGAGTGAAAAAAGTAGAAAAATCAAGTGGTAACCATACAGCTCCTTCATCTCCTTGCTGAAGGCTTGAAAAGCAAGTTTGGTGTGTGCATACTGGAATCACTCCTTACTGCAGCTGCACCCTGAAATGCTACCAGTGATGGATAATGCAATGGCAGATCCCATAGGAGTCAAAGGCAAAGGTCCCTTGGGCAGGAACAGGGGGCTTTGAGGGCCAGCTAGGAGTTCGGTGTGGTTCACACTTGCCTTGTGACATAGCCAGCACCATACGTGGAATCCCAGCACGGTCCTGGGTCCTGGCACAGCCAGGGTCACTCTGGGAGGTGACACTCCTGGGACCCAAGAGACGATGACCAGTAGAGGTGGCACGTCGGCAAGCGGAGGTGTAGGACCAGTGAGATCCCTTGGTGTGGTGGGTCTGTACGCCAAGCTGTGACCCCAACTGCCTGCCTCCACAGCAAGGTGGGCATGGGAACATCTGCTGCCTTCCAAAGCATGAATGCCCTGCTTTTGCCTTTTTCTGTCTTTCAGGATTTCCATGTCTGTCTGTCTGTCTGCCTCCGTGATCAGCCGTGACTAATGTTGTTGTGAATCTTGTGCCTCCTTGTGTAGCAGGAGACAGGGAGAGTTTCTTGTGCTCCAAGTCAGAGTTTCCACTGTGAGTCTTTTTTTTTTTTTTTTTTAGTTACTATTTACATGTGTGCAATGTGGAACTTGGAAAAGACAGACCCATTAAAATAATTGCACTCAGTGAGCATTTGGGCCGCCTTCTCTTTCACCCTACCAACCACCCTCTCCCTTACCCCAGGATGGTACGTGCTTCAAGGCTGTTTACATTCATTTTGCCTTGTGCTCCTCACTCTCCTGCTGGATTTTCTAGACAGTGCAACCAGCTGCAAGGAAAAAGCATCCCTAAAAGTTCATGTTGCCTCTTGAACACCATTGCTCCTTGAAGCCCTGGCTGCCCAAACACTGGTCCCACCGTGGACTCTCACTATCGTTGCTTTGGCTAACACAGGAATAGCCCCATATAGCCCTTGTTTTTCCTGTACGTGTGCATTTCCTACCCAGCTGAGTACCTGAAGAGGTGAATTGTGGGTCTCCCGTTCATTATCGACATGGGATGAGCAGGTTTGTGGGCTTGGGGTGCCTGAGGACTGTGGGCTGTTCTGAATTCAGCCTCTCCGATGATGGAGGATGGGACTGGATTATTTCAGCTGATCCTCCCCGGTCCTGGGTACAGATGATATTGAATTTATGGTGTGGGGAAGGGGTGGAAGCTGTATCTGGGTGTGTTTGTGTGTGTCTAGGATTGGTGCCATCACTTCTCTGTGCTCCTGCTGGGCTTAGCCCAACAAGGTCTCTTGGAGATGAGTCAAGGAGGGATAGCACAGTGAGAATAAAGAGGATTTGAGAGCCTTGCAAATTCACCTCGTCAAAGGGCTTCTCTCCCATGTGCAGCCAAGTGATTTGAGACGAGAGGAAATCTCTCCGTTCCAGGCAGGCTGGCTGGTTAAAGACCTGGGAAATGAGCTGGCTAAGAAGGCGCCGCTGACAATGTGTGTAAAATGAAAACCTGCTCCCTTCAGAAAGGATTTTTTTTGGCCATTAGGAAGAACTCCCTGGAAGGGTTTTTCTTTTTTAAAAGTGGGATCAGAGAGAAGAGCACAGAGGAGGGTTGGCTGAGCATCCTCTGCTGCCCTCCTGGACTTGCAGCCTGTAGCATTTCTGCCACGGCAGCTGCCCAGCACTAACCTAGACCATGAATCAAGCTTCTCTCTCTATCTGGAAGAATAAAACAGAAACATTACATGAAATGTAATTAGCTTTTTCTAATTCCTGGCCCAGATTTATCTGTGGCTAGTTTATGTCCTTTTATCCTCGTACCAACAATGGCTTTTAACCGAGATACCATTTTGGTTCCTGGAAATATGTATCCCTGAAACATTTTAGATTTGCTGCAGATTTCCTAGAGTTTCCCTTTCATTAGGCTGAGCTGGTAGACCCCTTCCCTCCTGTGAAATGCTTACCCTTCCTCAGGAGCCTTTACCTCCCTCTCTCATCCATCGCTCTGATTCTGACTCAGGAGCTTCATGAATGCTCATGAATTACCATTCTTTTGCAGGACTCCCAAGTCCACAGCAAAGTTACAAACCTTCCAGGCCTCACTTGTGCAAGAAATGGGGCATTTTCCTCTGCATAAGTCCTGGAAGAGGAAAAAAAAATCCATGAAAGAGCAAAAATATCCACAAAAATGTGAAATTTCCATTTGCAAAGTCCCTCTTTTTTTTTTTTTTAAAAAAAATGAGCTTTTAAGTCTTTAGTCTCCAGTGAGTCCATAGCAAATGTGCTCAACTTAGAGGCTGAAAGGCTGGTTTTCTCCAGCTGTCAAATGCTGTCAGCTCAGCTGAGCTTTCGGCATCCATGGGAGAGACCCTCAGACACCGGCAGCTGCCCTGCTACAGCATATTTGTATATTTATTTTCTAAAACTCCTGACTATCAATCAATCAGAATGATGACCCTAAAGATCTCCTTCTTTGGGGTGGCCTCAGAGCAACACCCTGCCCATGTCACCAGGGTGATGTGAAGCCACAGCAGACGCGCATCCTCTGCAGCAGCACCCCTCTCTAGATGGATCAAGGATATGGAGCATCTCCTCTGGTGTTGTTCCACACCATTTGCTCTCTCACGTTTCTTAGGGAAGCTGGAAGCTTGACGTTTTTAATTTTAATATCAATTTCAACCTCCCAGTGATTGGCTCCATGCAATAGTGGCCAGTTTGGGGGCTTCTGCTGTCCCAGCTGCTCCCACTGATGATCCAGGGAGATCCAGCGAGGAGAATCTCTGTCCCACAGTGAACCACCGGGCTGCAGAAGACAGCTGGACCATCAGGGCTGGTCAGTGAGCATTGCTCCTTACAGGCTTGTTTCCACGGCTTTGTTCAGTCTAATTTACAAGGTCTGTGGAGAGGAGATTTCACCATTTCCATTGGCAGGTCTCCTGCTACTTATAATCACTCTCAGTCTCTCTCTGTGGGACCTACACATGCTGATATGGCTTTGAATTCTCAGACCACAGAGGGTGTCAGGGCTGGGAGGATAGACTGTATTTTTCAAGGCATCCTTGCATACAAAGAGTCCTCAGGAGTTTTTCCAGGGAGCACATATTCATTGGGAAATTCTGATTTCTTGAAATTGGCCTGTCCTGAGAAGACACTGGTTCTCATGATGTTTTTGCCAAGAAAAAAGCTTCCCAGGTTCCAAATGAAATTTCTGATCCGAACACTTGAGAATTGCTGTATTATTCAATTCTCCAGGCACCCCTAAAATGAGATCTTGCTGGGCTCTGTCTCCACGTGAGGACCGAACTTCAAAGGCAGCTTTGGAGCTACAGTCCCTTACCAGACCCCCTGCTTCCAATCAGGTCCCAAAAGATCTTTCTGGACCAGTGCTTTTAATAAGCCGTGCCTCCTGAGGTCTGCTTGCCCTTCCAAAACCATCGTGGGAGCTCCCTCCTGCTGGAATCTTTGCTGGAGTTTCTGGCATCAGTCTGCTGTGACAGTGAACACAGCTTCATATGTGGCTCGCTGGCCTGGTGCCAGATGGATATTTGATGAAGTTTGCTATGAAGTCAGACAGAAAAATGATTTTCTTTTGCTGGCACGTAGGCAGAAAAAGATGCTTCTATTGGAGACAAATCCTCCTCTGTTGTTATCTCAGTATGAGAAATCATTATGATCTATGGTTCATCTTTTTATCTCCAGCTGAGCCAGGCAAATATGATGCTGCCATTAGGAGCTGATCTTCCCTCTCCCTCCGCACATTTTATCTCGTTTGCTGTTTCTGGGGCTCCGTGCTCTTCATTCGGAGGCAGATTTTGCACATGGGAAGGGCTTGCTGCCAGCAAACCCAAGGGCTCTGGCTTCTGCAGCCTCCTTAGGGGTGGGCACACCGCTGCTGCCTGCACCCCGTGGTGGTTGTGCAAATAAGCAGCCAGCTTTGGTTTCTGGGCTGGGAACCTTTCACAGGGCCACTGAGTTCACTGGAGAAAAATAACCTTTGGCTGGCAATTACAGCTGCACCTGGGAGCGGCAGAGCTGTTTGCTCCGGGGAGGTGAACCCAGGTCACAGAGCATGGAGAGCTCCACGAGGTTGTCCTCCCAGCTTCATGCTGCGAGATGGTCTCCAAATGGCTTTTCCTTCCTATCCTTCATCCGAAAACACCGACCAGCCCCCAAAACAAGGCAAATTTTTGCTGCATCCTTGCTGGATAAACCCTTTTTCATGGCCATAAATCCCTGGAAATCCCTCTGAATGCGGTCTTAGACCATGGTGATGTCCAGTGGTCGCATCCACACCTCTGGTGCTTCACTGTGTAGGTGCAAGTAAGGCAGTCTCTGCTCTGGGTAAAGAGAAAGACAGCAGGTGAGAAAGGAAACTGAGGCACAGAGCTAAAATGGGGCTCGGCTCAGATTAATCTCGGTTTTTTTCAGGAAAAAAGCCCCAACTTTCAGCATCTGTAGCATCCTGGGGCAAGGGCTTCCACTCCTTAGCCCTGTGCTGGCTTAGTTTGAAAAGAAGGAGGAAAAACTGTCTCTTTTATTGGTTAAACCTCAAAATGCACCTTTTGGGTGGACCAGATTTGGTCATTTAATAAATAGCCGTAGATTCCCACGTTCAGGGCAGTGACCCCTGAGGATAAGAGATACAGAGACCAGTTTCCTCTGCAGGGAACTGAGCGAGGAACTTACTAAACAATCCTGTTGGCTGTTGTTTTCCTTTACATGATACATTTCTCTGGCATAATGCTGAATTTCCCAGAAGCTCTGGGCTACATGTATTTTCATAGACCCTCATTAAAAACATGGCTTCAGTTCCGAAAATCACATTTGTTCGAAATAAGAGCTGTCTGCTGGGAGAATTAATTCCTCTGACTTAAGTCACCTCCCTGGAAGTGTTGCTGTTGTCTTTGATTTCATGCTTCAGATGATTATGCTTTTCCAACACCCAAGAATAACAAGATTAGGGAATTTGTGGCAAGGAAGGCAAAGAGGAGGAACTGGCTAAGAAAAAGGGAAGATAAATTGAATTTTCCCATTAAAAGAAAAGGACATGGCTATTTCACAGAAACAGTTTTGCTTTCGGGAAATAACAGTGGGGAAACCTTTCTGCTTGAACCAAAGTCTCTTATTCTTAAATAGTCTTAAATCTATCAGGCTCGTTGTCACACTCTGTTCATCCGAAAAGCTTTGTGATCCTTAGATACGCTACTTAAAGCTAATTTGGGAAGTATTAAGTCCTGTCCTGTGAATTATAAAGTAGCAGAAAAATGAGAGTAAATTGACAGGAACTGAGACAGAAGCATCCAGAGATGCCAGTTACTATCCACCCATCAACCACTGGGAGGGAAATCCAGGAAAGTGGCTCAAACTGGGGCATTTTCCCTGATGATTTAGGCAAGCTGAGTGTGAGCTCCCGGCGGAGGGGTCCTCCAGGACACAGGGGAGGTGGGGAGATTGAGGATACTGAGAGCTTTCCAAGTGGGAATGAAGATATTCAGAGATGATAGCTGTGTGAGCCCCCATGGCACATGGATGTGTGCAGGTATGTGTGCACCGCACGCTCCTACGGTCACAACCCGAGGGAGCAGCAAGATGACTTTCCTCTGCAACACCAGGAAGGGGTAGAAAACAC